CGAACACATTTACTTGTAACCATATTGCAATCTATTGATCATCATACTGAGTGATATAGAGATATCCCAGATCCCTTATCATTTAGTATCTTGTATTCATTAAGAACAAATAACTCCAAATTTATTCTTCCTCCTACGAATTAAAGTTGGAAATATAAATAGCAAAATCAAAAGTCTGTTTTTCTAAAACAATGCGACACCCAATAACGCATCAGTTTCCGACTGTTTGAACTGTATTAATCTTTTCTCCTACTTTGTATAATCTCAGTCTTACCTAAGTAAGCCATCAATGTGATTTCGTTATCATCGTTTGATGAAGCATGATATAGCTTGAACTATTAGGTGTTATATTTCGGAACAATAATGATTTAGCAATCCCTTTTATCTACATCAATATTTATCAATCAGAAATGTAGATCCCATAAACAGAAACGGTGTGAGATCTGTACAAATCACATGTGTAAAAAAAATTGGCCAATATACATACGAATGAATATATATATATATAAGAAAAAGAATAAAGCAACTGTTTTGCATAACATCGGTATTCATTAGTCATGGACATTCCTAAGAAGTGATTTTTTTACTGTGTAAAAATTTTTTCTCAAAAAAAAAGCATAGCATTTTGTTATTGCTAGAAAACAAACTCCGACTAATATCAAATTTGATTATGAAAACTAAAAATGTTTGCTTCCAGACTTTTATACATTTGAACGAAATTTTAGTATTCGATCGCTGGAAGACAAACTTAGACATACTTGTTTCCCATCAAAAATACAAACCTTTTTTCTTGAGAATAATAGTCTTGTTAAAATCCTTACTACCTGTTACTTTGCAGTTACTTTTACTTTCGTTACTTTTCCTGCCATTTTTCGGTCACTTCTGCAATCCACCAATTTACTTACTTCAATTCAAGGAGCCAATTACGCAACATAGTGTTTTGATTATTAAATTAATACAGTTGGAACCTGGACCAAATCCAACCAGTCGAAGGAATTATACCTATTAATGAGACGTTAGTGATTATTTCAATTCAAAATTCCTTCCATCAGCATAAGAAAATATGAGAAAATACGAAAATACAAAAGTATTACATATATTCTATGCGAAAGTATGCCAGTATTAAACTTATATGCTGAAGTAATTGAAAACAAAATGGATCGGGATTATAAGATGCATTAATAGCATAAAAAAAAAATAAATTCCATTCCGCAAAAACTACAAAAATTTGGCTTAAGATATGCCCACGGAGAAAAGAAAAGAAAAAAAACGGCTCCTAAGTGCAATAACAATAAAAACAAAACTAGAAGAACTGAAGACGGTCTTCGACAAACAAAAATCATACATACAGTTTTATAAGCTCATCACCAACAGCCGCAGGTGTCAAGATACCAAGATTGGTGAAAAGCAGATTGATATACTGCGGTGGAGTATAATCGACGCGCGGATGCTCACTTGAAAAATCGCCATCAAGTTTATGCTTTTTCAGAGTTGATGCCGTATACTGAAGATTACATTTACACAAATTCTGATTCAAAATTTAACAAAAATGACGAAGATTTGATAATATTATTCTGGTTTTTTTGTCAGAATAAGAAGTCTAAAAAAATTCAACAAAGATCAAAGCAAATATTTGATAGCTGATAGCCCTTTTCCAGAAGAGAAGGTACATGCTCTCCCTTACCAACAATATAATATAACACAATTGTTGAAAAAAATTAACGGTAAAATTTCCCTGACTGGGAAAATTCCTAACGAAAAAGAGAAATGGGTTAAACCTTGAATTCGATCGGTATATCATTTTGGCTTAAAGGATATTCCTTAACAAATTTGATACTTTCAGCCATAACGAAAAATGGTTTGTGCATTGCTTTTGCACATACGGCCAACGGATGTGTACCAATTTTGTTTATTATACCACCAGTTTCCATAACACCTTCTGCACCAACCATTACCAAATCAATTGTTTCCATTAAATACCTATAATACTCTGTAAGTTTAATTGAAATAAAAATTTTGATTTGCAGAAAACACAGTATTCTAAGGTTTGTTTATGAATTAAATTTATTTCAATTTTCTCAACTTTGTGAAGATTTTCTGCGAAAGCAAAAAATTAAATCACATCACCTGTACTATAATTAGAATGAAAAACTGTAAAAATACTCCACCGTAAGCATCAAATAACGATCTCAAACATAATATGATCTCAAAAACCATTTAACATATGTCATGCCCAGCAAACGACCAAACTGATGATTTATCAGTCTGAGCATTACCAAATTTTTTCGTATTCATTATTATTATTTTTGCAGATGCTCTTTATTTTCAGTCATGATCAGAATTCAACGTACGTATCATATTTATTGTTATACTGGTGCAAATATCGCTAGCCTTAAAATGGATGGAGACCATTTTAAAGTTTTCAAAAGAGCAGCATGGAACTGCATCTAAAGAGAAACGAATATCTGAGCATTTTCCACAAATGCATTTAACCCAAACTAACATATCATCAATTTAAACATACCCAACTCCAGCATCCAGTATTAATGTAGACTGAATTCCAGCATCTTCTAAGGCTTTAATCATCATATTACCTGAAGATCACCGGCAGTTAGTTCGGTAGAACCTTATGCCTCACAATTAAAGAATTATAATGTTCAAAAAACAGCCTAGCGCAATGCTCGTGAAACAAAAACTGTAAATTCTGAATAGAACTGCTCATCAAAAAGCAAATTTACCTGATTTATCCGGGCAAGATTCCGTAACGAAAACGTGTGCATTAACGCCGTCCCTCTTTGCATGTAATAACACTTCTAATACCACCTTACTATATGAATGGGTGAGGATGCGCTAAAATTCGACAAGGTTAGATATATAAGTTATCTCAGTAACTTCTAGATCCTCGTTCGATCTACAGTTTAAGCTTCAAGTAATAGGATTTCGAATTCTTGCTTCTCGTTAGACATAAACGATAAACAATACAAAAATTTTTTTATCGAGATGTCACTAAACTGAACCCGAAAAGATATTTGGGGAAATAAATGAGAGATAAAGAATAAGTAACTTGACAAGAATGTTACCATATTGTTTCGAATAAAAGGTTTCGCAAAACATGCTATCAGCGTTTTGCTCAACTCGACTCGCTCAATAAAAATATTTCCACGCTCCTTGTATTTCTGCATTAAAATATTGAATTCCTGCACATTCTCCTCAGGTGTAGCAAGTGATATAAACCTAAAAATGCTGGCCTTAGCCTAACAAGAACTGATTTAATCCATTTAAAAACAGTCACACTTTTTGAAAGAAATTTTTCTATTCTTCATCTCATTCAGCATATCCTCTCCATCTTACACCCATCACTGACTACATGAGAAAGGTTTTAAAAAGACACTTTATATGGCTGATTACGATAACTATTTATTAAATCAAACCTTAAAAATAATTCGCTAGCACTTCGAATAGATGGTATACTATAATCGGTTGTTGACATAGCAACCACTGCATTCCTCAGCTCATCTGTCAGTTCGTTTACTGTTTTTGCTAAAATTTAAATTATATTTTCGCTTTTTCCACTGAACCACTTTCAGATTTTCGCATATATAGATTAACAATGTATAATTCAGGAAGAAGGAGAAAAAATAAACAAAAATTATGAAGGGATGACTGAAAAAGAAATGAAAACCTTTGGAGATCTCGATGCATCGCATTAATGTTTCAATAGCTGCTTGACCTGTCGATTTTGAATTTCCTTTACCGTCTAATAATTGCTGAAAATGTTTTGCGATATCCAGCTCCATTATTTCTTAATCTGTAAGCTATGCAAATTTTTCTGAAGAATAATAAGTTATTCAAATTTCGCGGTTCATTTACTATGTACTGCTGAACTAATCTACTGCTGAATGGATATCATGAAGATCCTATCTACATACGAAAGTGGCGGGAAAGTCTAGATCCATAATCGCCCAGAAATTTCTTGCAAGCCACGAGAACAATGTTTACCTAACTTTCATCCAGCTACATTCAATTTTATGCAAACAACTCATCCATCAATTACCGATCGGCCATTCAAAACTTAACTATATTAAGCTACTAAAGTCGGATGGACTTCCAGAATGGTTGCCGGTTTTTGGGTGTGGTTGTTTTGCGGGTGGGTTGTGAGGGAGAGGTGTTTGGCGCTTTCCGGGAGGCATGCGGGGAGACATGAAGGGTGTCTTGTTCGTTTTACGTGACGTATGCACCTCTAGATCATGCTGTATCATCCCTATCATCTCTAGATCATGCTGAATCATCCCTAGGTCATGCTGAATCATCCCTACCATCTCTAGATCATGCTGTATCATCTCTAGGTCATGCTGAATCATCCCTGCCATCTCTAGATCATGCTGTATTATCTCTAGGTCATGCTGAATCATCTCTAAATCACGCTATATCATCTCTTGGAGCCCGCTGTAAGAAGTATAATAAGGTTTACTCTGATTCTGGATAAACGCACTAAATTCGGAATTTTTAAAGAAGTTGAAGTTTGGCGAAACTGTGGGAATGGCAAAAATTACGAGATGAAAGAAATTTTTTAAGACTTTGGAAGTGTACCAGTGGTTTTTCATGAAATAATTATAGAGCAGTGAGAAAATAATGTTCATTATGGAGATATACGTTTTATTAAATCATGTTCTTTTTGCATGTCTTTTAACGGATTTAACCGGATGCTTAATTGACATTAATCCGCAAGAGATGAAATATTATTAACAGATAGTATCATCAGAAGTGACTTTCACTTAACTCTTAGCGAATTTTTTAAGGCCATAATACCAATCTAACGTTAGTTAGAGTGATATACAATGGCCACTAAACGCTTCCTTGTATATCTTTGATTTATATCGCTTGATCTCAGTTATTTTGTCTCTGGAAACATCTTACGACTTGAAATATGCAATGGATTGTTAGAGCTCGGATGTGTTTGCCTTTAAAAGCTGATTACAATAACTTCTTTTCCGTTTTGTTTTCAGGCAGTTACATTCAGAAACTTATTTGCCTGCATTTGCAAGGATGGTGGATGTTAAGGGGAGCACCGGATTGCCGGTAGAAGAAGGACGTATACGTGATGCAGTTGCAAGGCAAATACAGCAATTCGGTGTGCTACTTTCAATTTTTACACATAATTACCGTTTGATTTTCCTTTTGGACATAATGGAGTAAACTGTGTTTTTTCATTTTAATTCAAACTTCTGGATTTCACAGGAATGGATAAACTGACAAGTCGAATAATTCGAGAAAAATTGAAGGAAACATTCGATGTGGACTTTTCAGATTACAAAGCAGCCATCGATAAAATCACTATGGATGTATGGTTTTGCATTGTTGTCACAGCGAGGTTGTATAATAAGCGTAGTATCTCGAACTTCTTTCTTCTCAATTTACAACAACTGTTTTGTTTCATTGATAGTTATTGAAGATAATTGAAACAAGTACTACCGAGAAGGCGAAATCAGAGGCAAATGATAAATCAGATTCGGAATCAGATGATGGAGTTGTTTTTACAGACCGCGCACCAAGAAAGAAAGTTAAGGTTTGTTTATTTGTTTTCATTTTGTAATTCTTCAATTTTGTTAATTCCTGGCAGTTTCTGAGTGAAAAATTCTTGCATCCTATGGCTTTATTCAAACACAATCTTTAAAATTGAAAAATTTTATCAAAATCTATTAGTATGTTAATCGGAGCTTGGATTTATTTTTTTCGACCGAAAATTTTTAGGAAACGAGAAAGCGAAAATCTTCAGAATCAGATGCAGAATTACTGGAAGTTGGACAGAAAAGGCGAAGAGCCGCGGTAACAGCAAGACAAACTACCAAGAAAAGGAACAAAGGAACCATTGAAAGTGGATCAAAACCTCGTAAAAAGAAGGTTTGAAATTTAATTGTTTCATTACATGTGATTATGAAATCTACCTTGCATAATCTGATCAGGACGCCTCCCCTCGTACTTCTATCTTAATTACAACGGTTCAAAGTTTTAATAGCTTCTGGATCAAAAAATATCTTATGGCTATGTTTAACCATATTCTTTAAAAATTTGTGAATTTCTACCAAAAGTTGTTGGTAGATGTTTTGCACAGAAAACTAGCGATATCTTTGGCAGATACCAAACCAGGCGCAGTGTTTCAGTTGCTTGATATCGTTATTGTCTTTCTCACGAACAATATATGTTTCCTGTCGAATATGTTTGATCAATAGACCAAACCTTGTAACGTTACGTTGAGTGGTCAGACGTTATATTGTATGATAGGGCAATTAAAATGAAGTGAATGACTCTTGCTGTTGTTTTATACATCAACATTTTTACAGATTTTCATTTTCATTATTACCTGTCACGTTCGCCTTCATTATTTCTCACATCTTTTTTTTCTCATGAAAATCATTCACTCAATTGAAAATCATTCACTCCACTCTTTTCTATACATTTCACACTTTTAATGACTTTGCTGAGTCCAATTACTACTGCTATTCTCAGGGTCCATATAATGTTTACTGCGCACTGACAGATGATCTTGCTGCAGTCTGTGGTAAACGGTATATGCGACGTTGTGACGTGATCAAAGCAATGTGGGCATATTTCCGGAGTAATAATTTACTTGATCCAAAGGTATGTTGTTGTTTAAGCAGTTGCAGTAGTTCCGATTTCATCCTAAGTAACACAGAAGTTATCTGATTTCCTTTTTAAACCGTAAGTCGCAAATGACTAGTCGTTCATCCTTTCTTCTTCAAGCCCAAAGTATTGTTTATATGAGTTTTTCAGGATAAACGTTATGTGTTGCCGGATGAACCTCTCATGAAGATTTTCAAGAGGCGTTTTCTTGCTTTTGGCTTAATGAAGGATCTCGCTGCTCATATCATCGAACCAAAGTTTTTGGATGAGGAAGAGAGAGCTGCTTTGGAAAAATTTGAAGCGGAAGAAGAAGCGAGGTTGGAAGCTGAGAGCAATAATAATAATAATAATGATGGCGACGGAAATATAAAGCAAGATGATGATAATGCCAAGGAGAAGGATATCACAGGTGGAAATAATGATGAAGAAGAGGATGATAGCGATGATGAAAATGAAAGGAGTTGAAGTTCTTGCAACTTGAGAAATTTTCCTTTCCTAAGATAGCTAATAATGATGATCTAGGTTCAGGAGGGAGGAGCTACTTTTTCTATCCATAAATTCCGGTAAGCTCATAAAGTATGCGAAAAAACGCATTAATTTTACGCCATCATCTTCTTTATCGAATACCGTGAAATCGTTTTAGGCGCTTTTTATAATATATGCCTGACTATCTTCTTTATAATTTCTCATTTAAATTTATCATTGTGGTTGTCTTTTGTAAGTTTTCGTTATC